GGGGGAAACAGGGTAGTACAAGTGGACACATGTCTTAGGGGAAGGAGAGTAACTTTGTGAACAAAGGTATTTGTTCTTCTTATTCCAAAAAATGTGTTACTCTCCAATGAGAGTTTTGAATATGCTTGATGCTGGACCCTTCCAATAAGCTGGGCTGTCATGACACACTTTCCTTCCTCTTTCAGAAATCACCTGAAAGATGTTCCCGAGGCGATCTCTGAGAGCAAGCATGTGACCTATTCTCACTGTGAGTTGTTGGAAGAATGGACGGGAGGCAGGCAGGGTTATTTAAAGTGCGCTCTCTCCATGGTCAGACGTCTTTGTGATGGTCTCAACTGTTGAAAGTCCATTCCAAATCTATCAAGACCCAATAGGGCATTTCTGCCTTTTGCAGAGTTCTGAGAAAGCTGATATTCTCATGTTGGCCCTGACTTCCAGAGATGTCCCTGTGTGCAATAGAACCAAGCGCTGCCAATACTGCACCATCCGCACAGTTGTTTGTATGTTTGTGTCAATCCATCCTGCTGAGGGATTTCCTCTGGTTTGCTGCCCCTCCACTTTCCTAGGCATGATGTCCGTTTCCAGGCACCGGTCTCTCCGGATAGCATGTCTAAAGTACATGAGACGAAGTCTTGACATTCTTGCTTTAAGGAGCATTCTGGCTGTACTTCTTCCAAGACAGATTTGTGTGTTCTTCTGGTAGACCATGGAACCTTCAAGACTCTTCTCCAGCACCATCATTCAAATGCACCGCTTCTTCTTTGGCCTTCTTCACTCAGTGTCTAAGTTCCATAAGAGGCAATTGAACATGTCAGGGCTTATGTCAGTGAACGTCTCTAGGTGGGGCTCAAACCTTTAGCCAGCTGGCAAGAATGGAAACGATGAAGCTGTCCAATTCTAGTTTTCATGTGAAGGCGCCTTGGTAGTGCAGGGGTTAAGCGCTCGCTAAAAGACGTCCATTCAAACTCACTAGGTTGTCTGTGGGGGGAAGATGGGACAGTCCACTTGCCGGAGCCCTTAGTCCTTTATAAAAACAATGGCAGGGGACAACAAGCCGCCTTTGAGGGGAGTAAGGGCCACAGACAGGACAGTGGTGTTCAAAGCTGACGTGTTGCAGCCTCCCGGCACACTCCTTGAGCGGTGTTTGTTACAGGCGGACAGACACCGGGTTCTGGGGTCCGATTTCTGGGCTTGGCCTTCTGGATATCAGAATCTCAATCTGACGCGGAGGCTTCTGAAAAATTCCATTATCTTCCCATTCCGTTTCCCCATACATTTTGTTTTGTGTTGTTTTCGGCACCTCCTGTCAGGAGCCGCTGGGGTCACATGCCTATCTAACAGTGGGCCAATGCAGAGGCTGGAAGGATTGGTTGAGAAGGATTGAGCCCGCGCGTGGTAAGAGAGATGCGGCACACTTTTCTTCGTTAGAAATCAAAAGTGGTCAGTGAGGGAATGGACCCTAATACCACGCTCCATGTCCCTTTCACGAAGTGGCCAATGAGAACCCTTTACTGGCTGCTCTGTAGGAAGGGCCCCAGCCTGTCTGGGTCCCCATCTGTGGGTCTCTCCACAGAGATCTCGTGGATGGGAGGACCTTCTCCCAAGTCTCAGGCTTTGTCCCCGAGCTTCCTTGACAGGCAGCCAGCCTCCTGTGGGCATTCGTCCCTGATGAGCTTCTGTGAAATATTTTGCAGCCTTTCCCCTTCCTGTCAAGGGGTGCTAGGCCAGCCCCTTCTCCCTTTGCGCTATCAGAGTCTCCTCTGTGCCGTGCGGATAGAGGGGCTTCATGTCTCTTCCCACATGGGCTGAGATCTATAGACACGGCCTGCTGGCTTGTCCTCTTTCTAGGAGCCATGGTGGCGTAATTGTTAGAGTGCTCGGCTGCAAAGCCAAAGGTCGATGATTGGACCCTCCCAGCCATTCCATCGGAGAAAGACGCAGCATTCTGCTCCCGTCAAGATTGCAGCATTGGATACCCTATGGGCAGGGCTACTCTGTCCTTGGGGGTTGCTATGGGGCTGACTCAAGTCAGTGGCAATGAATTTGGCTTGGTTTGCACTCTTTCTGTGTGACCCATTCCCTGGTCATTGCAGATCGAGTTAGCTCTCTAGCCAATGCTTCACTCCTGGATGGGTTCGTTTTAATTAAATTAAGTCAGAAGCAACTTCGAACTTTTACATTTCCATTCACTCCTGCTTTCAAAGCGCACTTTATATAACATATGATTCCAAGTCTCTTAAAGAGGATTTCCAAAGCCTGATAAGGACCTGCTAAGACTCTCCAGAGAAGCCAGCTTCCCTGTTAACTGGTAGGAGGGGTGGAGGGCTAGGTCTCTCCAAATGGACAGCCATTCAGTCTCAATTGCACAGAATCCTAACCAGGGGACCCTGATCACCAGTGTGGTGACTCATAAAACAGTCTCTGTGTCTTTCTCTTGTCTGTCCTAGTGGGGGGCTGGATCTTTTCCAATCCGGATGGCATGTACACAGCAGGCACCACCAACTACCAGTATGCCACTCCCCTGTCTCTGCCTGCTCCCCACTCCCACCACGGCTGCGAGCACTACCCTGGCCTCCGGGGACACCGGCAGGCTCCCTACCCTTCAGCCTATGTGCATAGAAACCATTCTCCCACAGGTGAGTGATGCTGCTAACTACACCCTGGGGACATGGGTGGTGGATGTACCAACAGCTACTAAAAGGAAATGTCTGGAGACGGAATGCTTTCCAGCTAGCACATCTAATGCAACTATAGATGATTACTGAGTAGTTTTTTTGTATGGTCTTTCATTGTACTACCAGTTACAGTTTATTCTTATTTTATATAATAATATTTGATCATCTAATGCCACTCATCTCAGCCTTTTATAATTATTTCATAAAACATGTGGTCACTTGGCTTCTGCTGGGTATGAAAGGCCCCCCCCTCCCAGGGAGCTGATGTACCGAGCAGGGTCAGCTGCATCTCTTTATAGCCAAGGCAGGTTGGCCCCTTGGTTGGCCGGACTCAGCTCATTGCCTTGCAGCAGCTTGTTTCCCCAGTAGCATGACCCAGCTGTGTCTGTGGGACGCTGGCTCAGCACTGCTGTCCCGGGAGGACGTTCTCTGGGGGGAACAGGAGCACTTTCTTAGTCCTGGTTGAGTCACTAGGAGGCAGGCAAAGCCATGCACACTGACTTTTGCAGTCTGGTTATTTTGAAGTTGGGGCTCCTGTTTATCTTTTTTGTTTTCATTAATGAGGCCGTGTTTGTTTGGACTGTGTGCCTGCGCAGGTTTTGTTTGGCTATTAGATTTGTATGAAGGAGGGAGAAATGAAAAGAAGGAGGAAAAGAAGCTAATGAGGAAGAAGAAGAAGAAAAAGAAGGGTAGCAGTAGTAATACTAAGAGTGAGAACAAGAACACGAAGAAGGAGAAAGGATGAACTATTTCTCGAAGGCCTACTGTATGCCAGGCGCTGGTTTACTAGGGAAAATCCTGAACCAAATAGAGAAAGACCTACTTTCACGGAGCTTACACGCTAGTACAGGAATGTCACTGTATCGGGTCAATCCTGTCCCATACCCCATGGGACAGGGTAAAACTGCCCCTGTGGGTTTCTGAGACTGCAGCTCTTTACCGGAGGAGAAAGCCTCATCTTTTGCTTGCAGAGCGGCTGGTGGTTTCCAACTGCTGTTGGCAGCCCAATGTGTAACCACTATTCTCCCAGGGCTTCTACAGGACAGGGAGTTAGGCCCTTATTAACATAAGTACGTGAAACACATGGCATACTGGTGGCGGGCATTTCGTTTCAGCCTCTTTCCTTTCTCGGCCATATCCTAAGTTTTGTATTTGCAGCAGGGTTTTCCTGGGGCACCAAGTACGTGTCCGTTTGCTTCTTGGCCTGCTCCTCCCCACCAGCAATGGCTGCCAGGAGGGGAGAGCTAGTCGCTTGAAGAGACCAGAACCCGATCAGTGTTCTCACTCTTCTGGTCCTTTCCTGGGGTCGGTAGACAGCGTAGCGGGCTGCACCAGGCATTGTTCTACACTGTGGGGAGCAGAGTTCAAGGCCAGAACAAGACAAAATAAGTAATCATAAGACAATTCTGGGAGCACCTTGATAGACTCTTTGGACTTCACCCTCAGACCTACTGAATCAGAGTCTACCAGCCCCCCCAGGTGTTTCACACACGCACGGCAAAGTCTAAGAAATCCACCACATCTCACACAAGCCAAGGTGTCAGGGGAAGGAAGGAAAAAGAGCGTTTAGATCTAGCAGTGGGAGAGATGGCTGCCAGGAGGGATTGACAATGAAGTTGAATCTTGAAGGATGGATGAGTAGGAAGGAGCAGAGGTGGGGGTGGGTGGAAGTGAATGGGGGTGAGGTGGGTTTGCCGCAGGGCAATAGTGAAGGGCTTGCTGGTGGGAGGAAGTCAAGGCACTGGGCTGTCGGGGAGCAGATTTGAAACAGAGCGTAGAGGAAGGAGCTGGAGATGGGGAGGTGCAGGCACTAAGGGGGAAGGGGCTGGGCTGCAAGCACTGGATCAGGAAGAGTCTGAGCCACCACGGTTTCTAGCTCACCAGTGACACGGTGAGATAGTGATGTGTTGGGCAGCTAAGGCCAGGTCAGGAGGTCGAAACCGCTAGCCACCTCGTGGGTGAAGATGAACAGTCTGGGAAACCCACAGGGCCAGCTGCACCCTGTCTTACAGGGTGGCGGGAGTGGACATGAACCCCACGGCAGTGAGCTGGTTTGTCGGCTTTGTTTTTTCCCTCCCCTCCCTGCCTTTTTGTCCCCTCGCCATGCCTCTCTGTTCTTGTTTTCTGTTGCACCTATGAGGAGGCGAAGGAAGATTTCGGACATCTACTTGGAGCTCCTTGGAGCTCATCCAGGGCACTGGGGCCCCCAGTGGGCTTGAGGGCAAGTTGACCCAGGTCATTCTTTCTTCCTTTTAGGATTTTTTTTTTTGTAATCCAAGTGGGTTTAAAACATTTTTTTAAAATAAATCATTTTCTTGGGGGCTCGTAGAACTCTTATCACAATCCATCCATCCATCCATCCATCCATCCATCCATCCATCCATCCATTGCATGTCAAGCATATTTATACATTTGTTGCCCTCATCATTCTTGAAACATTTGCTTTCTACTTGAGCCCTTGGTATCAGCTCATTTTCCCCCTCCCTCCCCGCTGCCCCTCCCTCATGAACCCTTGATAATTTATAAACTATGCTCCCCGCTGCCCCTCATTTTATCGTATCTTACACTGTCTGATGCCTCCCTTCACCCAATTTCCTGTTGTCCATCCCCCAGGGAGGGGGTTTTATGTAGATCCTTATAATCAGTTCCCCTTTTCTACCCCTTTTCCTCCGGCATCGTCACTCTCACCACTGGTCCTGAAGTGATCATCTGTCCTGGATTCCCTGTGTTTCCAGTTCCTATCTGTACATCCTCTAGTCTAGCTGGATTTGAAGGTAGAATTGGGATCATGATAGTGGGGATTGGGGGGTGGGAAGAGGAAGCATTTAAGAACAAGAGGAAAGTTGTATGCTTCATCATTGCTACCCTGCACCCTGAACTATCTCATCTCCTCCCCACGGCCCTTTTGTAAGGGGATGTCCAGTTGCCTACAGATGGGCTTTGGGTCCCCAATCTGCACTCCCCCTCATTTACAATGAGATTATTTTTTGTTCTTTGATGCCTGATACCTGATCCCTTCAACACCTCATGGTCACACAGGCTGGTATACTTCTTCCATGTGGGCTTTGTTGCATCTGAGCTAGGTGACCACTTGTTTACCTTCAAGCCTTTAAGACTCCAGATGCTATATCTTTTCATAGCCAAGCATCATCAGTTTTCTTCACCATATTTGCTTATGCACACATTTGCACATTTGTCTTCAGTGATCGTGTCAGGAAGGTGAGCATCATGGAATGCCAATTTAATAGGACAAAGTGTTCTTGCATTGAGGGAGTACTTGAGTGTAGGCCCAGTGTCCATCTGCTATCTTAATACTAAATCTATCAATATATGCACATAGATCTATTTCCCCATCATTATATATAAATATATTTACATACAATGAACTTATATTTATAGCAGTTTTAGGCTTACAAGAAAAACTGAGCAGGAAATACTGGGAATTCCCAACCACCTCCACCTCTGTCACACAGGTATACGTTTCTCCTGTGCACACCTTGTACTTTAGAGTAGTTCATGTGTTACAATGGGTGAACCAGTATGGATACAATCAGTGTATTGTTATAGGGGTACAGGGGGTCTTTTGTTGGTTGCTATGGAGTCACTTCCTCCTTGGGGATGCTGTGCATGCAGAGTAGGGCAGCTCCAGTGGGTTTCTAAGGCTGTGACCTTTTGGAAGCAGATTGCCTGGCTTGTCTTCCCAGGTACCTCTGGGTGAGTTCCAACCGCCCACTTTCACAGGTCTACCTCATTTCACTGTCAAGGAGCCCCTGGGTGTCACAGGAGGCAAAGCACCCCCAACATGGAGCTGAGAGGTTGTTGTGATGGTTAAAATATGAAAGGCACCTGCCGTATGGGCGGTACTCAGTACCCTACATCCCTAGTCTTATTTCTTCAGCAATTATAAGTCCCTTGCTTGTTCTATTCTCTTCAAACTCTTGGTGCCTGTAGCACAAACCATGATGGCATTTGTTCCTGAGCATAATGGCACTGGTCACTTGTTTGGTCTGTTTTGTCTGCTCCATCGATTGACCTCTTGTTTTTTCTCCAAAAGTGAATTTGATAGAAAGCTCAAGTGACAATGTGCAAGTTTTTTCGGGACCTGAAAGCTGGACCTCTTTATCCTCCACACCCCACACCAGCATCCTATCTGTACCCCACACCAATGGACCCATCAATCCAGGGCCCAGGTAAGACAAATGACAGCAACTTGCTATTTGTGGTCTGGGGATCTACATTAGCCTTGGCGACCCTAGGCCATTCTTTTCCTGGAGCCAGACGTGGCTTGGTCTGAGCAGTTGTCTTGGTCTGAGCAGTTGTCTTGAATTCCAAGGGGTAGCTAAAAGCAGGATTCGGCAGGATTCAACTCCATGCCCAACTGGTTAGGTAGCAAAGACGACGATAGTATGGACCATCATTCCTGGAAAGGATGATGGTAAATCCTAGCCACACCTTCTTTCTTTGTAGCTTTTCTTAAAAAAAAAATCATTTTATTGGGGGCTCTTACAGCTCTTATCACAATCCATAAATCGATCCATTGTGTCAAGCACATTTGTACATATGTTGCCATCATCATTTTCAAAACATTTTCTTTCTACTTGAGCTCTTGGTATCAGCTCATTTTCTCCCTGTCCCCACCCTCATGAACCCTTGATAATTTAGAAATTATTATTTTTTCATGTTACACTGATTGCTATCTCTCTTCACCCACATCTTTGTAGCTTTCTAAGAAGAAAAAAAACGAATGGTTTGAGATCACTGGCCTTAAACTCATCAGAAGTACTGTTAACTGGGGGGACAGCAGATGAGTACTGACTACAGGGAGTGGGGCAGGCATTGAAGACCTTGACCACCTATATACTCTCATAAAAGGTTAGATTGTAAATCCCTGCCTCCAAACCCAGGTAACAGGACTAAGTGTAACATAGAAAACATAATTTTATAGCAGAAACCTGTACTCAGTTTTGACTTCAGAAGTAGGAAGCATAAGGAACTCATAGTTTGACAGATGTCGTTTTGAGTCCCCAGTTCTACTTTTTATTGACTTTGTGCCTTTGGGGAATTTTCTTAACCTCCCAGAGCTCCAACTCCCTTACGTACAAAATGGAAATAATGTGCATTCTTCTGTAGCCTAATAGCAAGTATCAAAATAATATGAGTTACTATGTAAAATGTTGGCGAGAATCAAAGAAACATATCAAAATGCTTTGTAAGCCTTGAACTCCTATATAAATTCCAGATATTATCATTCAACACCAATATGTCCAATTTTGAGGTCTAAACAGGGATTAATAATAAAAAAAATAGGATGTGGGAGAAGTCAGATGATTTTCTAGAAAAGAAAAGAGTTAGGAGCAGTTGATGGGCTTTGGAGCGGCTTCTGATTCACAGCAGCCTGTGCAGGGTTTCCAGGGCTGTACATCTTGACCAGGGCAGAGACCCTGAACTCTGCATGGAGGAGCGGCTGATGGGCTAATTTGTGATTGGCAGCCCCACGCTTACCTGACAGTACCTCTAGGGTTCCATTTTGTCCTATGTAGAACGAAAAATTAACGATAATAGCCACTGTTACTGAGCGGGCTGTCAGGCGCCAGGCCCTGTATCTGCTTCTCTCACCTAACCCCCATAACAACCCAGGGAGGTCTTTGTTATGATCACTCACATCTCAGGCTGTGGAAACGGAGACTCAGAGGGAATACCGAATTTGAACAAGGCCAGAACACTCAGAAGTGGTAGGGCCAAACCCAAGGCTCCCAACACCAAGACGAACAAACAAAACTCACTGCCGTTGAGTCGATTCCAGTCCAGTGGGTCCCGCTTTGGACCGAGCAGAATTGCTCAGGGGTTTGAGAGACAGATGGAGCCGATCTGCATGAAGCACCACCAACCTTGCCGTTAGCAGCGCAGTGCTTAACTCACTTCGCCACCAGGACACCTTTCTGACACCAGTAGGTCCTGGCTCTTATGCCACGCTGCCTCTCCTTGCCCGTGAGAGGTTCTTACACTGTCCAAACATCCCCCTTTTGCCCTTACCCATTTCTCAGGAGCACCAAGGGAAGCCCAGGGAAGGGAAAGGCTGTTTTAAACCTAAGTTTGCTGGCGGCAGGCGGGTAGCAGAATGCAGGTCTGAGGACACCCAGGCTTAAGCTCCTTCGGCTGCATCTCACTGCTTCTCAGGGCCTCTCTGCAGACACCCGGGCAGTGTCAGCTGCAGAACTGTGCACCCGCTGGGTCCGGCTCCGCGGTGGACTATCGTCTTCTCTCTGTGTCTCTGCAGCCCCTATCCGTGCCTGTGGACCATCAGCAACAGTGGCGGGAGCCACGCCGGGCCGGGACCCGAAGTGCACGCCAGCTCCCCGGGGGCCTTTCTCCTGGGTAACTCGGCGGTGACTTCATCCCCTTCGGTGCTCGCCAGCCCAGCATCTGCTTCGGCTGGCATGGAAGTTCTGGGGGAGCCCTCGCTGACCAGCATTGCTGTGTCCACCTGGACCGCAGTGGCCTCCCATCCTTTCTCTGGCTGGGGTGGCCTGGGTGCGGGGGGGCGTCACTCTCCTTCTTCTTTGGACAGTTAGGCAGCACCCTTGGGAAGGGTGCCAGCAGAGACCCTGTCATGCGCGCGTAGAGCTCGTAGAAACCCCGCCTGCTGGAGTCCAGTGGGTCGCCCTGCACGGGCTCCCCACCAAGTGAGCTGGGCACCGGGGAGGGGGCCGTTATTTCCCACGTGCTGCTGGGGGATGATTCAGTATGGCGGATGCGAATTCGAGCTGAGCTGCATTCATTGAGGACTTGTGCATTGCTGATTGGCCAAGAGCTATTTGTAACCCGATAACTTGCACGTGCCAAGGGTTTTGCAGGCATGCGCAGAAAGGTGCAGAGCGGTGCAAAGATTGCATCCCCCGGTGCGGAGGGCTAGTTCTGGGAGACCAAGGCTTGTTGGCTCGTAGCGAATCCTGTGTTCAAGAGAATGCTTTAGAATCTAACTGCTTGTAATGATAAAATTCCACCGTGTCACTGGCATCTCGCCACCATTTTCTCTCTGACTCCGATTTTCTTTAGAGTCCCCAGGCAACACGAGCTCATGTAGTAGTACCTTCCTGTGCCCTGTGCCTCAGTGGCAGCTGCTTCTAGAAGACCTCCCCACTCCCTGTTCTGTGCAGCTGGTGCAGCATCATTTAGCGAGTTCAAAGTTGACCCAGCCTTAGTCTAGTGCTTCTTAGACTGAGAAGCCCTGCAAAGTATGCGTTCAGGCCTGTGAGAGGAGATGTCATTCTATGGAATTAGTTTTCTTACTTTCTCTCTCTCTCTCTCTTCCTAATAGAGTGTTTCAAAGACTATATACATCAGTGTGCCTGGAATTGAGAAAACCAGGTCACGTTGTCACTTCCTCGCTCAGAAACAATGTATGGGTTACTGTTCTCCGCAGAAAAACCCAATTCTTCTTACTCTGTAGAGACCCTCCCACACCCAGCCTCAAATGACCGCTTGAGCTGTGACTTCCTCTGTCATTCCACTTGAGCATCCTCGGTGCCAGCCAAGACAGTCATCTCTCTGTTTGCAGAAGATCCATTGCACTTCCTCATTTCTATACCTTCCCCTGTGTCTGGAGGGTTCATGGACCTCCTTCCCAGCTCCACCTGTGTAGATCCTACCTATCTTCCCAGGATTTGCGGAAACACCACTCTCTACATTAAACATCTGCTCTGTCTAGTCATACTTGATTTTTCCTTGTTCTCTACTCCCTTGCTGTCCACTCCCCCTTCAGTTACATTACTCACCTCCTCTGCCCTGCATTTTTGTTACCTG